AAACACATTTCTTTTAATTTCAGGCGCTATATTGGATCGACCATTTTGTTTTCAGTTACTTTGATTTCATATTCGAATTTATCGATCCCAATAACTCTAAAATAATATAATAATAAGCCATTCTTACTATTATTTTTAATATAAATTATTGGGTTTAAGTTTATTTATGTATGTCCGATCAGTTTGTATTTCGTGAAAATTTATTTTGTGATACGCTTGTCTGATCTATTTATTTAGTGTAAATAAAACGAGGTTAGTTTACTTACGACCCAACGTTTCGCTAATCTTCTTAGCATCTTCAGGGGCGTGTTTATTTAGTTATCTGTTACAAAAAATATAAATACATGTATGATATTAAAAAAAGGAGCAAATACATATACATATATGTGTTTATACATAAATACATATATAAATCACGATAGAACAACTAAGATATTAAACACAAAAGTACTCACAAAAAATTTGTCATTAAATTACCTTTAACTACTAAAAGGTTTGTCTGAACTAAAAACTGAATTTGAATTATTTTTTGTTTACATTTTTGTTGTTGTCTTTTAGGCTTCAGTGACATGAGCAGAAGTTGGCTGCATTTTATTTATGTCAAATTCAGCATGCGAAGTTTGCTGCGATGAAGGCAGTGGCAGTGAATTTAGAATTTGGGCTAAACTGAGCAGTACTGCCAGCTGCCACTGCTGTATTGTGAGTCACTTCATTGGACACCACACTTTCCTAAAAACAGCTGATTTTGAAAACTGCCACTGCCACTGCCACTGCGTTATTGTATTTTGGTCTTTAAGCTTTCTAATGTGTATCTGGTTTTTTCTGGTTTTTCTATGTCGATTATTTTGGTGTTTGCTAAATTTGCTGAGTGCGTAGTAATTTGCATGTGTTGTGACAGCGCTGGTTTCTTTATATCTGCTTCATGTTCGTTTAAGCATTCTTCGTTCTCCTTTCTCTTACATTAAATTTCGTAAACTACTTTGCTTTGTTGTTGAGCATTTATTGGGCACTTTGTTTTTGTAAAAATAGTCGATGCACGTTCAATTAGATTTATATGTAAGTGCTATGTTTTGTGGTTTTGCAAAGTCGCGGCCGAAGTTTTCGGTCAGCTTCGAAATGCATCTGCGCCTGAAGTTATATTTTGGTGATTGCTCGTTTGCATTATTGTTTGTTTTATTAAGTTGTGTGTTAAATTTTCAGGGTAGTCGTTGCTTTTTAGTATCTTCTTTATTTTTGAACGTTTGCCTCGTGAAATTTTTTGTGGCTTATTGTTAAAAATTGATGGGTTTAAGATTTTAGGCGCCATATTGTATCGGCTAAATATATGAAAAATTTTCGGGCGAAACTCATGATACGGCAGAATGTATAAGTAAATCTGCTTTTTTTCTTTAAAAAGCCGTATTTTTTAGGTGGCATCATCACTTGCGAAGCGAATGAATTTGGCGAAGCGATAATACCACCCTTTGTTACTCATACGCCATGGCATGCGAGTAACATTTATTTATGTGCAAGCAAAAATCACTCGCATGCCCCAGGGCGTATGAATGACAACAATACATACATATGCACATCGTCGTTTAAAGTACAAAGCCGCGTGGCAGCAAAATGAAAAACCGCGTATGTGAGGTTGCATAAATTATTTTCTAGAGAGCAAAAACACTCATATTTCAAAA